GCCAAAAAAAATGAGAAGTCCTGCCCTGGAGGGCTCAGGGAAAGCTGAAGCACTGCGCTTATCTGTGTTGCTTCATTGTGTCTTTCTCTAGGTTGGACTCATCTCCAGCACAGTCTTCGTGATTCTCGGACTGACTGTTCTGGCAGTGGGCTTTCTTGTGCCCCACAAAATCGAAGCCTTTGGAGAAGCAGATTTTGTGGTGGTCGACACACATGCTGTCCAATTTAACGGAGCCCTTGACATGTGCAAGCTGGCAGGAGCTGTGCTCTTCTGCATTGGGGGCACATCCATGGCAGGGTGCCTGCTGATGTCGATGTTTGCCAAAAACTACTCCAAAGAAGAAAAATTCCTGCAGCAAAAGTTTAAAGAGCGAATCGCGGACATCAAGGCTCACACTCCACCCGTGACAAAAGCTCCAGGCCCAGGGGAAATGAAAATACCAGTTACGTTGTCCAGGGTTCAAAATGTCCAACCCGTATCAGCAACCTGAACCATCCCCCCATGAAGTCCTCCCCTCTCTAATTTATGCACATGGTTACAATGGAGCAGGTCAGCTTTTGAAGTGATGGAGGTTTGGGGTTGATTTGCCCCAGGGCTGTGCTCAGCTGTGGGCAGTATAGGGCGTGAGCTCAACTTTGCTCAGCTCAGTGGCTCTGGTGAAGGTGGATGCCATGTGTAAACCTCTGCACAGGCACCTAGCTGCTTAGAGGGTGCTTCTATGTGCCCACCGGGAGTCCTCTGACACTCTTCTCTCATAGATTGTGACTTAGTGTCATTTTCCGTGTTATTGGAAAACACTGAACAGTTTAGACCAGCCTACCAATCGCTAACGTGGCCCATTTTATTTTTAATATTAGTTTTTCTAATATTCCCTTTGTGGTGCTGTTTTCCATTCCTGTCTCACTACGTGTAAGATATCGTCATATGTGTTCTTAGAAAAATGAAGTTCCCTGGTTTTGACCGAAACATTAGTCTTTTAACTGCTTAACATGAGGTTCTTGAGATTGGATATAAATTTTTCTGAGTTCTCCATAAATCTTTTTTTTCTTTAGTTTTTTTGTTTGTTTGTTTTAATTTAAAGAACTAAAATTGCCAACGTTAGAATCTTGGGAAAGAAGTTAATGTTGGGAGTATTATTTATTTACATAATGTCCAAAAGCACTGAATTAGAAGCCAAGAACTTTGAGTTCCCACTACTGACTAGCTGTCTGACCTTGGGGAAATCATTTAACTTTCCAAGTCTCGGTTTCTCCATCTGTATAATGGAAATTCTGGACTACGATGTTTGAGATTCTTTTTTTGCCATGTGTCATCATGTCTCACCCCCAAGGATGTTTACGATGTTCTGTGGGCCTCATCACTGTGGGGTTCTTTCAGACCTGGACTCCAGGAGCGCTGCCCGGTTGCAGCCTTCATCCACCTACCCTTAAATATCCAATCCCAGCAGTTTATATGATGCTGCCATGTTTTTATAAAGACAAAAATAAGCCATTCTCAAACAAGAAGCCCCCAAGCAGATATTAACCTTAAAAAGGGTTTTCTTTCTCCAATAAGACATTTTATTCTCCGGTAAGATGTTCGCCTCATCCCTTTGCACTTTTATTTAATCTGTGGATTTAAATGGACTGAGGAAAATGGAAGATGTGACCTTGGTATTCTCTCAGAATTTGTTCTCCTTCATGTTCTGTCTTTTTCTTTTTTTCTTCCTTCACTGGATAAATAAAATATGTGAACGAGTGGAACCTGAATTGCATTGTCATTCCTTCAGTGTGGCTATTTTCTCTCCAACATGTAATTTTCCATTCTGAGGCTGAATAAGCTCTGATGTTCCCCTGGCTTAAATGGAGGGATAAATGAAGCAATTAGTGCTCTGTGTGCACACTGCTTATTTTGCCCAGTCCAGCATAAAACACAGGGCAAATTGGCCTCCCTCAACAGAGATCATTGGCCAGATTTGGGAGACATTATTCCAGTTTTCTCAGATTTTCTACCTTCCTATAGAAATACAACTTAATTTTATTTTTTGAAGGCTTCTATAAGCCTCCAAGCTTCTGTTCAAGGCAATAGCATTTGAAGCTTTCCATGCTTGCTTTTGTGCTGTGCACCAGTGAATCTCTGAGGATAAGACTTGACTTTTTAAAAGCCTCCAGAATGAAAAATAATGGCTGCAGGGTATGGGAACTTTTAGATAGAGGCATGATAGCAGCCATAAAAAAAAAGCAGCTCTATTCCTCAGACAAAGGCCTTCAAGAAACCAAGATGGGTAAAGTGGGAGCTGGGTTTGAAAGAGTGAATCAACTTGCGCTGTCTTTCTATTGTGCCCTAGCTTTTTTGGGTGGGGACTTTTAAGGAAAAGGGATTGAGAGATATTGTAGGAAAGCAGAGAAAGAGCCTGAATGGTATTAGGAAATATACCTTGATCTTTGAAAAGATGCAGGCCATGTGTAATCAGAGGGCAGTGAGCATCAGACTAAAGACTTTAAAGCAATTTCAGGCCCACTTGTGGAGACATAACTGGTATGGCAAACAAGATGGTGTTAGAGACTCGTCCTCAGCCTGTTTGCCTGCATTGAGCCAAAGCTTCCCTTCAGTACTGAAATTTCTAGAGCAAAGTGAGACCACATAGATGGAGAAAGAGGTGAGAGAGAAGATGTTGAGGCTGCAACTGGAAAAATTGAGAAATGAGTCATGGCCTGGAGATCATGTAAGTAGAGGCACGTGGAGTTGATATAAACCTTGGGTGATATGGGCCCATCATGTCGGCAATGATCCAGCAACCTTCCTCCACCTGGGCACTTCCAGGGGCTGGACTCCTACTGCCTCAGAGGGCAAGACATCTTAGGAGGGCTCTATATGATTAGAAAGTTTACCCTCATGTCTTTCTCAAATCTTCCTTTCTAACTCTTCCATGCATTGGACCAAATTCCAGAATTTCCAAGTTACTTACAAGTTTAAACCCTTTTACAAAGGATCACCTAACCCACCCTCATAGGCTATAAAGTTTTTCATTTTATTATATTCAATCTTGTTACCTCTCTGACTGTCTTCTTCAGGGAGACATTTCTATCCTCAAAGTTCCTAATTGTCCACACCACCTATTTTATGAAATCCCTACAGGTTTTAAAATTTACATACGTTATAGATTTCCTAACTATTAATTGCTTTACTTGTGAAATGCACAAGCACACAGCACCTCAAACCAGAAAGATGATGACAAGAGATGTTTAAGCAGCTCCTCTGTGCATTTCCATGGCCTCCTATGATCTGTCTAGCTCCTTCCCAGTTTTATTCTGGCACATGTCCTAGAACCTGCATTCTAGTCATACTCAGCCATTCTTGCCTGCACTTTCATGCCACCGTGCCTGTACTCACAATGCTTATTTTCCCAACAATAACCATCTTCCTATCCTCTGGCTATTGAACCCCTCATTCAAGGTCACATCAAGAAATAACAGCAGTAATAATGAGCTAATATGTATAAAATGTTCCTTTGAAGCATTTTATGTATAGTAATTCATTTAATCTTCACCCTAGGAAGTCAGGCTATTATCACATGCCCATTTTACACGGGAAGAAACAGGCAAAGAGATAATGTGTCCAAAGGGAATCAGTAAGACTAAGGCAGGATTCAAATCTGAGTAGCCTGGCTCCAGAGGCAGCAGCTGCACTGTCACCTTCTCTCTGCAGTTCTCTCTTTCTCTCTCTCTCTCTGTCTCTCTCTCTCTCTCTCTGTCTCTCTCTGTCTCTCTCTCTCTCTCTCTCACTACCCCCCGCCCCCATCTCCTGGTTCAGACTTAATGTCTCTTCCTCAAGTGCCAGCATTTTGTACAAACACATTCTGTCACACTTTTCTCTTTTTTATTGTGATTTGTTTACACATCTGTTTCTTCCATTAGAAGATAGACTATTAGTTGTTTGGGTACAGGGAGTATGACTTAATAAGTAGTGAATTCTCAAAAGCAAATACATAAAAGCTACTATTATATGGTCATTTAAAACAATTATTGCATTTTTACCCAGAGCCAGGAATTGTGCTGCACCTACAGAAAACAGAGATGCTTAATAGGGACACTAAAGTTGTGTGTGTGTGTGTGTGTGTGTGTGTGTGTGTGTGTGTGTGTGTCTGGACTAAGACTGAGTATGGCTATGGGTGCCCCAGAGCAAAGCTCTCCTCAATTTAACATTTTGATTGGAGGGAGCCCAGCCTAATGGCTATCTTTCTGTTACTCCATCTAAAAGCAAAATCCTTTGGCCAATGAGCCTTACTCACTGACGTAGAGCTATCAGTCATACTTCTCACTCCTGGGAGGGGCTGATAGAAAAGCTAGACACAATTAGTCAAGAGCAGAGAAAATTGCCTCCACCAGTCCTGAATAAACCTGATCCTTCACCATTAAATAGGAAAGTATGACTAGAATTATCAGATATTTGAGGAAAATCAGCACCTTGAAAAAGGATATATAGGGACTAATAGACTCCATGGGAAACATAGTATTTCAGAAATCACAGAACTCTAAAAATACATACATACATACATACATACATGTGTGTGTGTGTGTGTGTGTGTGTGTGTGTGTGTGTAATTAGAGGCATTTTGGAAACATGGCAGAGTGAGAGACATCCCCAGATCTCTCCCCTTGAAACAATCAATAGCTGAACATCTAAAACTCAACAAAAAAACACCCAAACTGCACACCAGCACGTCTGAGCATGGGATCTACATATAAGAGCTACCACCAGTCAGAACCCCGGGTGTTGGGCGGTGGACTGGGAGAAATAAAGAAGCTGCCTCTAGCATCTGCCCAAGCACCCTGTAGGAGGCGTGGGGAGAGAAGATGTGGTGAGTTCCGTGAACAGCCCTGCCTGGGAGAGTTGTGAGTTCTATGCAGCCAGCGGCACTACCCAGTCTCAGGGCAGAAGGCAGAGAAATGGGGATGGCAGAAAAGCAGGGATGGCAGGGATGGCAGAGAAACAACACTTGATTTTTACCAGCCGCAAAACTAAGGCTGAGCCACAGCCCCCATCCTCCAACCCAGAGGGCCCCTCCCCCATACTCTTTGAGACAGATCACCGTGAAGCCCCAGAGGAATCTGAGCAAATGCTACTGAAACTGTTGTTAACACTGATAGGGACTGAAACTGAGAGTAGCGAGTGCAATTACATTTCTATAAGGAAATTAAAAATATATATATTATTTAGGCTTTATATAAAGCAGGGATCCAAGAGGCTTAGAAGCCACCTACTGGAAACCAAAAGAAAAGCACCTTTTTTGCAGCAGGCTAAAGAGAGACCTTTATATAATAAATCTTTCTGGAAAAACAGCAGAATACATTTCCATTACTGCCCAGGCAGAGAAATAGTCCATTAAACACTCTAAACAACCAAGGTGACAAGGCATCTCAGAAAGAAAGAGAAAAATCTCCAGAAAATAAGTTTACAGATATAGAAATATGCAATTTAAATGACAGAGAATTCAGGATGGTACTTATGAAAAAACTCAGTGAGTTCTGAAATGAGTCATATAAACAATTTCAGGAATTGAAAAAACACCTAAATGAGCAGAGCAAGGAGATTGAAACACTCAGAAAGAACTGAATAGACCTTCTGGAGATAAAAAACACACTGCAAGAGTTGAAAAATGAAATAGCAAGCTTGGGAAATAGAGTCAGCCAAATGGAGGAAAGGATCAGTGATATTGAAGACAGAAATCTAGAAATAAATCAGAAGGAAGAAGAGAAAAACAAAGAATAAAAAATAATGAAAGAGAAATACAAGAACTAGCTGATACCATCAGGAGAGGTAACATAAGAATAATAGTCATTACCGAAGGCGA